ACACCTAACAGAAATTGTTCTCTTTTCACAGATGATGTGTTTACACAATGCAAGAGATGCTCTGTCCCTCAGACTTGCTTTTAAGTAGAATAACGTATACAAACTGATCAGGGAAATGACATCATGCTTGATATATTAAGTGGGGGAAAGAAGGAGAAAAGGAGGGAATTTGGAGCGATGGTTTGTCTTCCCAAAGAACTGCTACCTGTGATGGGGCCCTGCTTTCCTGGACATGGCTGAACACCTGTCTGCCCATGGGAAGCAGTGAATTAATTCCTCATGTTGCTTTGCTTCTGCATGCAGCTTTTGCTTTCCCTATTAAACTGTCTTTATCTTAATCCATGAGTTTACCAGCTTTTACCCTTCCAATTCTCTACCTGATCTCACTGGTGGGGGAGTGAGTGAGGGGCTGCATGGGGCTTGGCTGCTGGCTGGGGTTAAACCATGACAACCACAAAGAAAAGGAAATTAATTTTTCTACTGCTGAAAAAACAATCAGGTTCACACCACACACATACAGACAAAAAAATCATGCCTGGTTTACTTGAAATGCTGCAATGCCTGGTACTCCTGATTTTTACTTCCTGGAGGAAAAATTGATATCTTCTACATCTAGAGAATTACTAATCAATTCAGCCACAAATTGAGGTTATTAATGTGCAGGTGTTGAGAAAGATCTTCCTGAAAGTTATTCTAGTGGATGATAAGTAGATGGCTATGTGAATTCACTCCACTGTTGGGCAGATAAAGCAAACTACTTTTCACAATTTCCTAGATTAGAGAATGAAATAAATATATTCACAAGAAAAGAAACTGTATTGCAACCTTCATGTTTATAGTTACCTCTAGTGAGTCATGGTGGCAGTCCAGCTTCCAGTCTGATAATCACTGTGCAAGCTGTAAGGTACCAAGGTGCCACAGCCATCACAATGAGCAAATAACTAAGACAAATGAAGACAGGAAGAGGCAATACAAAGAATCACAGGGAGATAAATCATATAGCAATCTATTATCTGTATGTGTTACATCTTAATGCATACTGTAGCATTTAATATATATATATATATATATATCACTGTAGTAAGAACTGCCTGTGCAATCTGCAGTTCAAGTGACAATGGAGACTTTTTTTAGCCCTGTAGAATAAAATCTATTCTGTGTGGCCATTGTAATGCGTCAGTATCAGAAAAGCCAGAATGAAAAAAACCCACAAACTGAATGATCTCAGGAGCAGTCCAATATGGTTATAATGGTTTTACATTAAATTGTCTGTAACAATTGCCTGTCATTATATGGTAACAATTCAGAGATATTGGGAAAGATAACTGGATTAGAGGGAGCCAGAATTTTATAAAGCAAAAGGAAAGAACTTGTTCATTTACCTTTTTTGTTGCTGGTGTTCATTGTGTGAATGTGGCAAATGGCAATTTTATACAATAGCTGACAATAGCACCCCAACAAAGGAGGGAGTTCTTTACCCTCCCCCTCCCATGTTTGAACAGAGTTCCAGAGAGGATGGTGCAGGGGAATTTTGCCTCTCTGGAGTTGAATGACACTGCAGCAAAGGAACCAGTTTCCAATCCTCCTACAGGGAAGAAGAGACACTGAAGAAGTAACGAGAAACAAACCCAGAATGGGGATGTGCTCATGCATTTACACACATTTAAAAAGAAGTTTACTCTGTCCTTCACCATGTGCCATTTTTTTGGTCTATGCTGTCTGGTATTTGAGCAAGGGGCTGTTTTCCAGATTTCAGTGATGTAGCAGAAAAAAGGTTCTCATCATCTTTTTTTGTTGTGTCTGTTAGACACTAGTCTAATAGGCTGATTCTTCCTTCTCACTGTTCTCACTCACCCAGCACCCTTGGAATAGCAGCAGGACGTGACTGCTGTATGTCTTGTGCCTCTTGTAGGGTTGCCCAACTGGTACAGCATCCTGCACCTCAGTGTTCTGCATACAGCATAAGGTAGTGCTGAATGAGAAATGCCATGACCAGTTTATAAGAAATACAAAGGCTGTTTCTCCTGTAGTACTGTGCTTTTGGGGAGTTACCTAGACACAGACCTCACTGTGCTGGGTGTAGTATGCCCTGTCTGGCAGAACCATGTAGTCATGAAATTCAGAAAATAGCATTGCCCTTCTCATACAAATGAGAACTGAGGCACAGTTTCTTCACCAAGATCAAAATGAACATCTGTGGCGTGTAAGAGAAACAAATCTCAGAATAACAAGTCTGAGACATTTCTTTCATGTGGGGGATAGCTGAGATATATGAAATGGGCTTTTTAGGGACTTTGACTTCATTCTTTGCCAGCAATAAGACCTCAAGGTGTTACATATTCTCGAATATGTTAAATTCAGCTGATTTGCCTTCAGGGTTTTTTTCAGGGTAGTAATTACAGATTAAGCATTACAAAGCATATTTTTACACTTATTTTGACACAATGTTTTTGCAGTTCATGAATCTATAAGTCCTGAACACTCTCCAGTATAGACAACACTAGTGATTTACATTATTTTGGAGTTGCAAATAAGTTTTCAAGGGTAATGGATTTCATATAGAGAGATTAAAAGATAACATTCCTTCATTTGTGCCTGGTGACTTCTTTTCCCCTATCATACTACATTTAGCAAAAAAAATAAGGCAGAAAGGATGCTGGTATATTTTTATGTTAATTAATGTATTTTAATTTCAAATAGCATTTCTGAAGCTCAGATAGACTCCAAAAAAATTGGTGCCAGGGCAAAACTAATGAATTTTAATTCTTTTCAGTATACTTATGCTTTCATGAATTCTTTTTGTTATATTCTGGTGTATGAGAATGCATCAGTAGGCACTCAGAGCATGCAGCCCACAGATCTGATTTTTACAGAAATCCAGCTTAACTTTTTTAGCTACATAATAAAGTGCACCTCAGAAGTGTGTTATTTTTAGTGACCAATTGGGTAATAGCTAGAAAAAAAAGCATACTTCAGACCAACTTTTAAAAGATTTTTTGAAAACAACAGATTGTAAACAGCAAGTAGTCTTTCTGCACAAAGGATGCATTTGACTGTTTTGTAGCTAAACTGTGTTATTCTTGGACAAATTTTAAGGGCGTGCCACTCATCCCAGAAAGGCTGCACCTAACAACTCACCCTTGCTGCTGTTAAATTGTTTAAAGCACTGTGATCTATCCCTTAGGTAGTTCAACTGCACTAACTCTGCTCTTCCATATCTTGGAGCACCTCGAAAAACTCTCGGCTCCTTGGGAGTGCAAATGGTTTTGGCCATGCTGCTGTAAAACAGAGAAGTCCATGATCTCTGCAGTTTGCCCACAGCTGCTGGAGCTGAGCAGTGACTATATTGTGATGCTGATGGTGAGGGGCACAAGAAGAAGCCTTGTTTAACATCATGGTCCATGGATTGCACTCCATTAATCCCAGACAATTTTAATAACAGTTCTTAGCTCCAGGCACAGATTCGCTGGCAAAATACTGGCCTGCTGTAATTTACTTGTGCATCCTGTTGAGAGTAGGGCACATTAAACCAGTCTGTCCTTTGTGCAACACTCATCATAACAGCAATATAAAATCAATGACATTGTTGAGAAGAATTGTTGTTACTCATCAGAATGATGCTTCTTTTTACTTCCATAACTGCAGCATACCTGGGTCCTTGTGCAAAGCAAGAGCACCAGCCATAATTTACTGCACTGCAGTAAAATCAACAATGCAGCATTCCCCAGAACCAGACAAATCTCATATTTGATTTGCTAAGTGAATAGAGAGAGAAAACATGCTCCCCAAAAATATTTTTAGTCCCATTATTATATTTCTTGTTTGTTACCCTCCAGAACCCTTACTGTCTGAGTAAACACTGGTAACTCTTGAAACCAAAACATTATTCTGAAACCTGATTTGAAACCATTTCTTTTACAAGTAACAAAGCGAATCACACTGATTTTCTAAAAATTCTTCTGTTTGGAAGAAGTAAAAAAGAACAATTTGAGAAGTTAATGGTAACTCACCGGTAAGTTTCAACTGAGCAGAAACAAATTTGAAACTAAAAATGTTAGATGTAAAAAAAAAAGCATCTGATTCCATCCAAGAGAAAATTCCCATAGCTAGAGAGGAAACTCTCTGTAGTTTAGAGTAAATTCAAACTTAGGATATTATTATCCAGCTATATAGAGCCATAATCATATTTTTTTAATTAGAAAATTATTCATAGTTTAAGATACTGCAGAATAGGAAATATAGATATTTACAACAGACTAATTTTTTTCTATGAAAAAATTGACACATTAAAAATATTTTTCTTGTCTGTAAAATTGCGTTTTCTTCCCCAGGTCTTCTTGAACTGTGATAGATTTTCATTTTGTTTGGTAGAAGTTTGGACATTGAAAAAATATAGTTTCTTTCTAATTAAATGATGATAAAAAGAATTTTGTAATATTGAAATAATCTACTCTTGGTGTAAGTTTGCAGTTGGTTGTTCCTGTCTGAAACATGAAGGTAAGAAAGACAACTCATTGTCTCAGCTTAGTGGCAGGAATCTTCCTAACTGTTGAGTATGTAAGAAGAATGGAGATGAATGTTTGCTTGTTATAACTTAACCATTCGCTCAATACAAAAAGTGGTAGGCTTTGTGGACTGAGCATTCATCTATATTCCAAGATTTCATAAGTTAGCAAATTTAAATTTAGGTTTCAGAATTGCCTTAAAAGCCAAAAAAAAAAAAGAGTTATCTGCATGAAGATTGTACAAATTGGTTAAAATCACAGCCCATTTGGGCCAACAGGAGATTTCTTTCTGGAATAAAAGACCTTTTATATAAATATCAACACTATAAATTTTAACATGAAAGACAAATGAATTTACAAGTTGGAAATACATGCAAAGAGAGGATTGAAAAATACAAAATAGAAAACTTAGCGAAAGATTTGGCTTAGAGCAGACTACATTAATTTTAACAGTTAACCCCTGCACAATATAGTAACTCTACATTATTGTTCTAGGTACCTGGGAATAACGAGACCTCTTACGTACCCTGTGAGGCAGAATGGGAAGTGTATGGCCAAAATGATCCTGTGTGTATGGCTTTTATCTGCCTCTATCACTATACCCCCGCTCTTCGGTTGGGCCCAAAACGTAAATGACGAAAAGGTTTGTCTGATCAGTCAAGACTTCGGCTACACCATTTACTCCACAGCAGTTGCATTTTATATCCCCATGTCAGTGATGCTTTTCATGTACTATCAGATTTACAAAGCTGCCAAGAGGAGTGCTGCTAAACACAAGTTTACTGGTTTTCCCCGTCTGGAAGAAACGGAAGGGATTTCTATGAACGGAGTTGTAAAACTGCACAAGGAATCTGAAGAATGTGCTAATTTTTCACGACTCCTAAAGCACGACAAGAAAAACATTTCCATCTTTAAAAGAGAACAGAAAGCTGCCACTACCCTTGGGATTATTGTTGGGGCTTTCACTGTCTGCTGGCTGCCCTTTTTCCTCCTCTCAACTGCAAGGCCCTTCATCTGCGGGACGTCATGCAGCTGTATCCCACTCTGGGTTGAGAGAACCTTTCTATGGTTGGGCTATGCAAACTCTCTCATTAACCCTTTTATATATGCCTTCTTCAACCGAGACTTGAGGACAACTTATCGCAACCTCCTGCAGTGCAGATACAGGAATATCAACCGGAAACTGTCAGCTGCAGGGATGCATGAGGCTCTGAAGCTTGCAGAAAAGCCAGAATTTGTTCTGTAAGGTCACTCATCCTTTACTATGATAATGTGTTGGTTTATCACGTTAGCTTTTTCCCCACAGATTTGAAAGAAGAGTTATAGGAAGAACCAGGCTTCTTGAGGACTGTTAATGCAGTCATCAAGACACTGGGAGGTAGCAGTGTAGGGCCCACCTGTGAGCCTGGAAAAACAAGACCACCATCTGAAGAATTTGGGTGTAAGAGGAATACGAGAAAGGAGGAGAGTAAAATATGGTGCAGTATGTATGAGCTGCTAGTGAGGAAAGAGCAAAGTTGGTCTAACCCACCTGTTTGGCCCAAACAACTGAAGGTCTGAATGTTGGATGCATCTTGTATCCTAGAGATTCTTTGCTATAATAAAGACCTGAGAATGGTGAAAAGTTTACTGTAATTCATTACTTTCCACTTTGTTATTATAAAAATAAACCATTTAAGAAGAAGCTGGATCAAGGAACTTCTATCACTTAGAAATATTCCTTATTATAAAACCCCATATGTTCATTAAACATTCATTTACTAGATTGTCTGGAAATGAACTACTTTGTGAAATTTAATATTGCCTTTGCACAGCAACTCTGGCACTGAAAGAATACATTATACTTCCAATGTGAGTATAAGAGTTTGAGTAAAGTCACAAGGACCAACTTCTACTGCTGCATACAGTCATGCAGCACAGTTAGTTCAGTGCTGCTATGCTAACTACACCAGGTAAAGATATTGTCCTATGTTTCTAACATAAGAAATATATCTGATTACATTTTATTCCAGTATCTGTCTGGTCTTTGTCCATCTCTTCAGTCTTTAATTCTCTTGGCTTTCTTAGCTGAGCCCTTCTCTAATCTAGATGGAGACTCTGTCTGTGCTCAAGTAATTTCTGTTGATGTATGGTTAGTCCTTGTTCCACTTCAGTAGCTAATTTACTGTCTATTTGAAAGCTCTTCTACTTGGGATTTCCTTCTCTTCTGAAGTCAATAAGAAAAAAATAAACTTAAGACTTTATGACTTCAGAGGCATCTGGACTTCATCCTTACAAACCGATTTTAATCATCAGTTCTTCTTAAAGTAATTTAAAGCCTTGCCCTTTGTAAGAATCAAGATAGTTTACTGTTTCTAGCTTTTCCTACCACCACTGCAGCTTGTCCAAGTATGTGACCCTATTTCTCCTGACTTTGGTAACAAAGTTCTTCCCTCAGTGGAGCAGGGCCAAATATTATAACAGTGTTTTTATTAAAAAATTAGTTATGAAGGTGTTGATTATAATAATATATTTTTAATAATGTATTAATATAATATGGACTGATTGCATCAGGCATTACTGTAAGAACCTAAAATAATATAAAACGACTCATAAGATCAAAATGCTTTCTCTGGACCGAGTTTGCGCTGCACACCATGTTCCAGATGAAGCAACAGGGTATGTTAGTGAACAGAGACTGCTTCAGAGCTTGATCTACTTTTTCAGATGTCAGGACATCAGTGAGGAGATATGTTCATTCTCAAATTGCCTCAGCATCAGATCTCACTTTAGGCTAACCTCTGTCCCCGCTGTCTCCAGTATGAAGCCAAAATGACTTAAACCAGTTCAGTGATGTTAATTTGGGATAAGTAGTGAGAATTTTCTGCCAGATCCCTTGTTCAAAGGATTCAGACATAATTGCAAACATTTGAGCTTTTAAGTAGCAGATACATTAAATCTTGGATTAGATATGCTGAGCTATGTGTACTGAAAGATGCTTAAGTCATTTTAGACACATTTATACACCAGGATACATACAGTAGGAAGAACATTTTGGTCTCATTTTTAGAGAAGAATCCTGGTTTTGTAATAGTAAGAGGCAATATCTCAGCTTCAAAACAGTTTTCTGAAGAAGTTTCACATTGATTTGGAACAGTCCTGTTTCTTTTAAATATTCTAATATTATGTACAGAAGAACAAGAAGATATTTAGGCCCAGAACATACACAAGCTCTGGAGTACAGAGTAGAGTTCATATAAATTCAAGCATATTTTCCATATTAAACGTGAAATTACTGTTGTTTCTTTGTTACCTGTCAGAGTAGCAATTTTTTGGTTTCCAGCGTAAGTGAGGCATTTTCAAGGCCTTCTGTAAATTCTTTTCTCTGTGTAAGGATATACAAGAGAATATATACAAATAAATGTGTCTGTGAAGACTCCAAGTGGAACTATAAAACCTCTGAAGGTGATTTTAGAATTCTGGGCAGAAGTTTCAGCATTTTTATTCAGCAGGAAAGTCTAAGAAGTTGTGTTCCCTCCAAATAAGATTTTTCTTTTTTTTAATTAAATGTGCGTCTTATGAGTCAGAAATTGATATTTGCCCAGCTGTCACTAAAGGCAATTCCTTTCCTCAGGGAACACATCCTGCAGGACTCCAGTTTTCCTCTGTTTCAGGTAATGAGAATAAGAGTTGTTACGGGCTGTGTACCAATCCTTGAAGTTTTTGGAGATAAACATCCACCTTTCATGTCTGGATATGTTTGGAAAGAAAAGAAAAACAAAACAAAATGAAACTAAAACAAACCACCACCAAGTTTATTCATATACCCAAACCAAAACATAGACAAATGGAAGCTGTTGTTAGATGGACCTGTATTTGAGGGGAAAAGTAGAGAATCAAGAAGATTAGAACAATGTCCCTTTGCCAAAGCACACAGATAAAAATAAAAGAAACAGAGGAGAAAGTTTTCAGACAGAATTCTAATGGAAAGAGGCCTGGATAAGGAAGGAAAGACAAGGAAATAATTGCTTGGGTTGATGAACAGGACATTTTACTTTTTAAAAAGATAAATAAATAGAACTATAAATGCAGCGGTAGCATTTTTTTAACTTAGATAACTCATTACACATCTGACAAGGGGGTAACATGTGAATGGGTGAGAGAGAAGTCTACATCAACATGTGTGCAGCCTGGTACATGCTTTTACCAAACCCAAGAAGAGATTGCACTCTGGATCAGTGTGTTTTCACATGTGTTTCGAGAAGAAAGCAAAAGGAGTGAATTAGATAGATGGTTTTGTGAAAAAAACATCTATAAAATACTCCAAGAACCATCCAGAGCACAGGGAGCCAGCATAACACCGACTAAATGAGAGAGAAAGAGAAAAGTGAGATATTGGAAGCAAGACGTGGAAGCAGTTCTGAGTTTCAGACTTGTGATAGTTACTTTTGGGAAAATGTGCAAAAATATAGAGGTAACAAAGGTACATATCCAAAAAATTGAGAATAAAGACACAAACCTCTCTAAAATATGCTTGTACAATGCCAGTGAAGAGACTGTTGCTACCTCACTGCCTAAAGGACAGCTGGGCTCTGTAGGTCACCACTGCTCTGGATTTAACAAAAATCTATTTAAAAAAAAAAACTAATAGCAGCATGAAGAGAATTTTGACCTTAGGTAAGATCTGTTGATGGGAAATCTAAGCCAATTTTTCTTATTTAAGAAGCAGTTCATGTTGTCTAAATCCATAAATTGTAGTCAGAGAAGAATGTGAACGCTGGTGACAGCTCACTCTGCAACCCCACTCCTGGGAGGTTTGGAGGATTTCAGCTATCTCATCCTTAAGCCACAGTCTGAAATGTGAGAAGTCCCACATTAACTACAGAGTATGCCATCTTACAATATTTGACAATCTCAGGTTTTCTATGAAGGTAGATGTCACTGTGTAAGCTGAAGTGGTTGACAGGAAAGGTTGGAGTTGTTCCTTAGATGCACAGGGCAGTACAGTCTGGAATACAAGACAGCATGGAAAAAGTTATCCTAGAGAACAGGATTGCCCTTTTACTATAGTGTAGAACTGACCTTATCTCCAGATGAATTTTTTTCATCTGGGGAAACTCAAGGCAGCTTTTTTTATTAGCTACAGGACCCACATTCAGTGTTTCTGATTAGAAACCTCAGTCATATTGCTGCACGTCCTAGACCATCTTCCTACCAGCTGGTAGTTCTGAAATTGGTTTCTAGCCACTATGAGATTTCTGGATGGTGGAGGTGGCAGGAAAATGGGACCAATGGCCAAGGTGATCCTGAGAAATGCAGTGGTTACCATAGCCTGGGCTAGGAGCTGAGGAAATCAGGAAGTAGCTGTGCAGCTTCTGGCAGCATCTAGACCTCCTCTTCATCCAGCATAAGTGGCTACTCAGTCACAGCCTTCAGCTGCAGCACGAGATCTTCAATTGCTGCCAGAATTATCTAGATATCAACATGCCAGTTAGACCTTGTTTACTTTATACAACTCTTTGTTCACCTCTAAAGTGTGTATAAAAGTGCTTGAGAGTAGCCACCGAGTGAGGCAGTTCCCTAAAAGGAATTTTAGTCACAACTATGTAAGAGATCCTTCCTTAAGTCCACTTTTCAGTATCACAAGCACATTTGACCCAAGATAAACATCACCTGTGGCCAAAATAAAAGCAAAATAGCAAAGCTTGAAAAGCACAGAAACCACTCCCCTCCTCCTCTTACACAGCTCATTATATGGTATTAGCATTACCCTATTTATAATTTATCTGTAAAAGTAATACTAACTCTCAAGGAATTCCAGAAGAGATGGTCCTGGATGAGCCTCCTTTACTTGAAACAGTCTTTTCACAGCATGTCTGACACCAGTAATAAAGCACCAGATGTACAGATTGTACTTTACCAGGAAGTCCCCCTGTTTCCTTCTCTCTCATCCTGCTCATATGCACCACGTTTATGTCAATTTTCCTCAATGAACAGGGCTTCAGACCAATAAATCTCCTCAGTATATCCCTCTTGGACCAGAGTTTGAGGTAATGATTTAGTGTGGCCAGTTTGCAGCCTTTCCTGCTCACCTTGGACCCTCCCACCTCTGGTTTCAGTTAATTACCCAGAGTCAAATCAGTAACTGTTGCTTAGATGTTCTGAAGTGCCAGGTAGGATTGCCGTTCCTGCTGACAACTACCTTTGTAAATATACAATGTGCTATTGTAAACCCCACTCCCATTTCATGGTAGCACTTAACCTGCAGTAAAACTGGGCAGAAACAACACATAGCATTTCCCACGGTGTTTTCCCTCCTTGTTCAAATAAAACTCAAAGATTTGTGGCAGTATCAATACATTGTGAAAACCGTACCCCTCCTGCTCACTTAATACTGCTTTTTTGAGGGAGACTTGCCACTTACCAGCCCATAGGTTTAATACTGTAACACAGTAAATTCCTCTGTTTAGTAGGAGTCTTACTGGGTAATAATAGAAATAACAGAGTAGTAAAACGTGAATTGATTATAATATCTTATTATTATACATCTATTGCTTCACATTTCAGTTCCATGAAAAGAAAAACAACGTCTTTCATGCTCTGTTCAGAGATTTACTAGCTAGAACCACCTGCAGAAA